ATATGGGGTACGGTGCGGTACCCCCGAATGGCCCGTATGACCACCGGCCGCAGCGCCTGGCGCATCAGGCGCGCAGATGGTAGACTATTATTTGCCTCTTTTTATTAATTTAAAGGAAGTAACAGGAACATTCGGTCCTAGAGTAAAAGAAACTATGTTCAAAGCACCTAATATTTTTGTTACGGCTTCTAAATCAGGCAAATTAACATCGAGTCATATAAAAACTTGGTTGAAAGAAGTATTTTTTCCGAATGTTGGTCCACAATCCGTATTATTTTAGTCCGTATTATATCCGTAATAATCCGTATTAGATTCTTGGAGTGGATATTGTCCCAACATAATTGAGGAGACGAGAACAGATTTTGCAACAGATATTGTTTTCCTAACAATTCCAGCCGGTGCAACAGGAAAAATACAACCGTTAGATGTATACGGCTTCCGATTATGGAAAAATTTTATTAGGCATTTTTCTGATACTATTATGTTATTAAATCTTGCAATTGATCTTCATGCTAGAAATAATATATTGAAATTGCAATCATTAACGCATCATCAATTCTCGTCGCCCAGATTTCAAAATTTATTTAAATATGCCTGGTTTAAAAGTGGATATATACAGACTAGACCAACAGAGTTTCGAACACCGGTTGAATTTTGTTTCCAAAGTGATTTAAACATAAAATGTGATATTTGTGGCCAAATTGCTATAATTACTTGTTCTTGGTGTAAAAATTCATTGTGTATGACACATTTTTTCCATAATCATCACCTTTGCAACGAATGAATTTGTATTATTTTTATGTACCATAAAAATAATACAAATTCATTATTCGCGCATGTGTTCATATGCAAATTGTGTACAGTTTCTTTATCACATATATTGTTAAATATATATTATTGCCAGTATTATTCTTCAACAATTTATTATATTATTCCTCTTTATCCTGTTCTTCTACATTATTATTCCATAATTAGTATTAAGCTCTTCGTTATATATTGTTTAGCAATTGTTAATACTGTGTTATATTTTCATATCGCACGCTTGTTCTTTCTTGCAGAGGTAATAGAATCTGTGTTTCCTTATTTCATGCATTACGACTTTATTTTAATTCGTCTTGATCGTGTGTCGACTTGCCATTACAATAAACATACTTATTTCAAGAAATATACAAATATACATTGGAAATTTCTGTACAAATAGCGACGCTGCACACGCATTTACTACTGTTGCCACATATGCACATTTATCTGTACTCACTGTTTTTCTTGTATAATACATGGCATATTACAATTAATTCGTTTTCATCTTGCAGTAGGATAAATTATGCACAGATAGTTATTAAGCATAGCGCAACTGAAGAGAAAGAACGCCACGTAACAGTACGTACCTACTCGCACAGTGCAGTGCCTACCACGATGTCATCGTACTGTTTTTCTAAAAATTAAATCGAGGAATCATACTATTGTTATATATGGATGGATTCGAAATTCAATGCTCTTTAATTTTTGTTCTTACAAAATTTTTAAAATTTGCGAAAATAATGAATGGAGAGGGAGGGTAAATTTGATATTTTGAAAAATTTGAATTGACAGGTACAAAGAGCATCAAATACTGTAAAATTCTTACATTTACTATGTTTTCATATCTCTCATATTTTAGAAGATATTTGATAAAAACGAAAAAATTTTTTCAAGGGGTGATTTCAACCCCTAAACCTCGAGATAAGCACATATAAAAAAATACGTGTCTAATATTTTTTAATCTTCTACAACATATCCAATGCCCATTCAAATCGGTGAGGGACGCCCCCGACAGTTCCCTTGTAAAAGTATGAAATTTCGAAATTTGAACGGCCGCCATTTTTAATGGGGGGATGTAGCGACTTAAAATTTTAAGGGTGTGTTTGTTATGAAAAGAACTTTCAAATGAGCCCCCACTCGACCCTTAGTCCAATTTAAAATTTTCAACCCCCTTTTACCCCCGCGTACCAGGGAGTGGGGAATGGTCGGTATCCATGTCATAAGGTAGCTTTTATGAAAAATAAAAATACGTGTTTTACTGTTTTTTGACATTTTCATTTTTACAAAAATTATTTAAAGATTTCCACATTTTTGACAAATCCTGTATATTAATTAATGATATTGGCTATAAATAAAATGTTTTCTTCTTCAAAGATCTCTTTGTAATTTAAATATAATAATAATTCTTTTAAGTTCAAGTCAGCTAGACATTTCGGATGTGAATGTCAAATTAACTCCGATTTTATTTTTCAGTTAATTTTCCTCGGAAGGCAGTCCTTTCCGAGGTAGAAATAAAAAATTTTATGGCGTAGATCGAGCGCGAAGCGCTGTCTTAAACGAACATAAAACGTTTCAATTACGTTAGTTAAAAAATCGGGTATGATTGAATTTGACACGTTCACAATTTTTCTCGCAGCTCTTCTAAATTTTCGGACCTAGTCTCATAGACCTTTATTTTCAAAATTATTGCAATTTGCTAAGAAACCAAGTGATTACCGGCTATTCAAGATATTGCTGGAGAAGCTTTCCACAATGTTTGGTTTCAGCGGGATGGGGCACCAGCTCATTTTTCTCTGCAAGCTCAAAATATTCGAAACAATGTTTTCACTGATCGATGGATTGATAGAAGAGGCACAATAGAATGGCCACCGAGATCACCAGATCTGATCCCATTAGACTTTTACTGGGGGTATTTGAAAACAAAGGTCTATGAGTCTAGGTCCAAAAATTTAGAAGAGCTGCGGGAAAAAATAGTGAACGTTTCAAATTCAATCACACCCGATTTTTTAACTAACGTAATTGAAACGTTTTACGTTCGTTTAAGATACTGCCAAGTTGTCGAAGGACATCAATTTGAACATTTGATTAAATAATTAGTGTTTTTATTCCTTCACATACGCCAGTGTTCCTATCTCGGTCTTGCCTTAGTTGGCCGAACACGCGCGCATACACACACACACACACACGCACGCACGCACGTATGCACGCACGCACACATAGGAACGCGCGTGCCCGCGTGAAGCCTGACCTTTCTTCTGTTGTCGCTGTGGGCCCTCGCAAAATCTCAATGTTCAAATGATCATAACTCTGTGAAAGAAATCGTAGAGACCTCAGCGACCTTGCGTTGTTTTCGTCTCGGAAAGCCCTTTTGAACGAGTCCTCACTCAACCCAACGTGCTATTTGAGATTTTTTGGCTCCCCCCTCCCCCCAGCCCCCGGGGGTGTGGAGGTGGATGTTTTTGTGATTAAATAATAGACTTTGTGATCCCATTGAATCCTTATAAATTTCAATCCTATATTTCAAACCGTTCAAAAATTATTTAGGTGGCCCCGAACTTTTGGTAGGCACTGTATATATACAATATTTGTATTTATGTACAAGTGTAGAGTGTGTCAGTTTAGATTTAATTTTGTGCGTATTGCGTTCCTTCATATGCGGCGACGTGTGGCCGCATTCAGAAGGTGCCTTGGACTTCTCTTATTGAAGCTGACCGGCCCTTGGCGTTCCGCTTTCGATAACGTCCGCACAACCTTTGGCGATGTCTGCGTTCCCTGTATGTGTGCCGTGGAGTGATCATCGTCGCTAGAATAATGCGGGGATCGTCCCATGCAAGAGCCGGCCCGGGCTAGCCGGAACAACGGTGGTCGAGTTAATCGTGGGAGTGCTACCTTTAGTCGTGGTGACATTCACGGTGGTGAGGATAACCGAGCCTTTTTCAGTAATGCTACATCTAGTACCGACATCCGCCAGCCTTCGGGAGACGAAGCTCCTTTTCTCGTCGGCGATAGGATTAGAAGACGTGGCGACCTCCTAACGATCGTCGTAACGGATTCTGGCGTCGATGATCTCGGCTTGTCCGGAAAGTCGGGACTGAACAACTCCAGTAATACTCACTTTACTCTTTGTCGCTTTCTCGTCTTTCGTTCCGCCGCTTTTTCTTGTTCTTACTCCGGGGAACCATTGATGCTTGGCCGCAGGGTGTCTTCCGATTGACCCTCTCGGGGCCGCTTTATTTGGCGCTTTGCAGCGCGTACAGCAAGCGCTTTGCAGCGTGTAGAGCGCGTGCGTTTTGCAGCGCGGACGCTTTTCAACGTCGTAGAGCGTTTGGTACCACGGTCTTGAATATAGGTCGGGAAACTCCTACCTTTTTTTGGTGGTGGGGGTGACTCGCTTAGTGACGATATTTTTGGTTCGCCTTCTAACCGCGCACGCCGCTGCGTTGCAAGAACTTTTTGTCACGCATGCGCGTTATAATAAATGTAAAATGAAAAAAGTATATGTATCTTGTTAGCTGAAAAATGTGAATGAGTGGTAGCATGAGATCCTTGCACTCTTACCGTTTTTAGTTCGATTCCGGTTACTGTATTTTTAACAAATATTTTACGAAAAGTAAGAAAATGTGTTATTTAATTATTACGTATTGTAATTATGTAAAAGACATATATTATGTTTACGCGAGCGTTACTTTTGTAGTATCTTACTTAAATTATTGTAACTTATGATAATTTACTCTGCATAAACGGGATTCTATTCAATAAATCTCCGTTTACGCGGAGTGAATTATCGTAAGTTGCGATAATTCGAATAAGTTATTACAGAAGTAACGCTCGCGTAAACATAGTAGTAATAGTACTATCCCGCGATATTCGTAAAGTGAAATAAAATAATAAATCATTCCCGTTGTACATAGAAATAATGTTTATTTATCATATTGAGGTAAATGCAGAGGTAATAAATGTGAATTAATGAAAGATGTGATTACTTTTTGAAATAGCAATCCGTTTCCGCTTTTTATTCACAGAGTAAATGTTAACAATTATAATTACATTTATTTATCATGCAATGTTATAAACTTATCGAAATAGTTCATTGATTTGTAAGTTTTGATAATTTTTTTTATGTACAAATACTTTTTTCTTCTTTTCGTTTTCTTGAAATGTAAACTGTCTCATTCTCATTCGAATGTAATATTGGAATGTGTATGACAGGAGATGTGAGGCATGTGTTTTGCACGGGAATGAAAAAATGTATGAGTCCAAAACTTCATCTATTGTTTCATCAAAGACATGTTTGCTTGCAGCATGCTTAGAAAAACAATCCTCGATAAAACGTATCAGTTTAAAAAAGGTTGTGTTAGGATGAATCAGCCTTCCGTTTGATTTAAGGTCGACCAATTTCGAAAGCGAACTGTGATTGTTGGGATCTTGTATTAACGCTGCATGACAATTTACACATTCACCATAGCACCGCAAAACTTGTTTGCATACGTAGCCTAGAAAAATGTTAATCATAACAACATACTTAAACGATTGGTTTCATATAAACGAAGAATGTGAAATGTAGAAAATAAAACGCTTTGCACAACTATGTAAATAACATATAACACATGCTTTTCAAACTCCAGGCGTACAGCAACCGCATGCAAATAAGGACAGGACAGCTGAAAATTTAAAATAAGTGCAATTAAGTGTGCAAATATATTTTAAAGTATTATTAGGAACATACGATTTTACGTAACCGGATACCAAGTCATGGGCATAGTAAATGCCCAATATTATCGTACATGTAATCTTGAAGAATGTTTTATTATTTTTCACCGACTTGATCCAAAGATTCCAGCATCACCTGCTCAATGTCAATTATTAGTAGACAAGTAAAACAACACATGTGCAATTTTCATAATGGTAATCTAGAATGTTCATAATTCACATTTCTGTTTATGCATACAGTAGTGTGAAAGTTGTTTCTGAAGAATGCATTTCGTGTTGTTTTTTCTTTCAAGGACAAATTTAGGGGCGGAAAGAATAAAATCGGGAGATGTTATTTGTTAGTTTAGGATACCTGTTGCATAATAAATGATACAATCGACAACACTAGGAAGGGTGTAGTTATGGTCGTCTGCGAAAATATTTTGATCTTCGACGTATTCGCTGTTTAAAATCTCGTCCAACCTATTTCTTATTTTTTCACGGCTTTGTGTCATTTTTGATTCCGGTTTTCCGCTTATCTCTTTGAAGTCATTTACTATAATTAGTATCTTTTGCTCAGGTTCAGATACAGTACAATTTCCGTACTTCGGCGGCTTCAAAATACTATATATCGAAAGTAATTTGTATATGTGCAGAAAAGTCGAACAAGTCGGATGGTCATTACAACCCGCCGCTTGGCGGATGGTGCCGAAAAAGTTCTGAAAGAAACATATTTATTTATTTATTTTTCATCGCCGTGTTATATAATGATAAAAACCAAATATTTTATGAATATAACTTTGATTATGTTTTTTTTATTTAACTTTCATTATGCTTAATTTTTATATGGATCCAGCGGCCCTCATATAGTCATCAGGAGTTAAACAAAGTATTAAAATATTATTGAGCAACTTTACCTCCAAATTGTCCAAGTTCACTTTCCCAGTTAATAGATATTTGAAATCGTAGCGCGCCTCCAAATACTGACATAAATCCATCGTAGATTGGAGTGACAAACGAAGACCTCTTGCGGTCTCCTGAGTCAAAAACTCATGCTCGTTAATTTCCCCCATAATTTGAGCGGTCTCCCAGTCGTTCAGCCATTGTATTGAACTTCGCAGAACCTAATAATGAAAACGTCTCAAATTGTATAAAGAAGATAATAAAAACTGGAAGTAGGCAAAGGTCTTGAACAGAAACGTCTATGAATTCAAACTGTGGACGCTACTTATCAGTTAAATGACGAAACCGAGAACTACATTGGATGGTGTGATAGAACGTTTACCTGGAAATCGTAAGAATTAGAAGTAACTCCTTGATTCTGAACTTTCCGATTTAGAGCGTCGAACAAGTCGTTCATTCGCTTACAAAACTCAATAGTCGCTTCACAGCCTTTTAATTCTTGACACTTTTCAGATACGTATAACTGAAGCCCATTCGCCACTGAATTGCTGAATATCTGATAAAAAATAATAAAAAAATCTATACCACAAATAATATCATAATATATCATAATATATCATAATATGTCATAATAAATATTAAAAATTATTCGAATCGTATCATTTACACCTGTGTTGCGAGCCTAACACGCATTTTAGCTGTGCTATCTAATTCTACGTGTCTCAAAGTCAGCCGAGGACATGCTCGAGCGTTTCCTAATTGGTTACTGTCCAATTTGTGTAGAGTTTTAAAATATTCCCATTTGATCGGATCATTCCTTGCGTTCATCTACAACAAAATATATATGCAAAAGGAGACGTAGTAGTGAGAATTCTATCAATGCATCAATATAAATTCATATACATACTCGTAGTATTTTCTTGTTGTATAAACGATTTTTCACATTCTTGACAAGATGAGGAACGTCAGAGAATATAAACACGCGGCGATCATTATCCAAGGGATGGGTAAACCATATTCGAGTCTCATTGATCGTGCTTTTTATACCCAGATTTTTTCCCATCTTCGTATTTGTCGCAGCTCCATCGGAAACAATTCCATGCACTATGGCCCCAGATTCCTCCAACAGAACGATTGCTTTAACTGCTATTTTTGCTAGTTCGTCGCCCCTCACGGGATTTTTTGATGCAAAGACTGCCACTGGCTGCGTGTAGGTGTCTGCGAGTGGTTGAAACATTAACACAAGTCCGTGAGTCGCTTGATCCTCTATACTCGTCGCTTGAGGTCCTTCGTCACCAAAATCAACTAATCCAGAATAGGTGAGGGTTTTCGAGCATACAGAAATCGATTTTAGGAGATTGATTTCATCGAGCAACAAAACTCCGTGGCGTTGCATCGGTTTTTTGGAAGCAAAACTTTTTTTGAGCAGTTGTAAGAAATTGCTATCGAAGCCACATTTTGTGTTGATATTTGTAAAATAACTTCGAATAGTTCGGGTGCACGGTAATGGGATAACGTTGTTTTTACGTAAAAATTCGTAATATTCATGCGAACGTATGTTCATTAACATACAGAGCATTATCCATTCTTCTGAATATCGGTGACCTCTCTTATAGGTTTTTGCTGAAGTTATTATTTCCATCAACGTATTTTGCATTGTTTTTGGTATATTCAAGGAAACACATTTTTTCTCCAATGTTTCGTCCTGAATATTTGCCAGCTCGTTTTGTTTAGAGATAAACTGATCTTGCAATAAGGCGATTCGAATTTTTGATCGATTTTTCATTCGACGCGTTACGCTCAATTTTTTTCTCAAGGCATTTATTTTCTTAAGATCAATTGGATTTGTGGTTCCCACGACTCTTTTTACTTGATCACGCTTTTTAAAACGTGCCTTTTTTTGCAGCAACGTGTTTTTCAATATTGTGCAACGTTTGCACCTTTTCGTTTTGGTGGTTAATTCACAATCGGTATGATGCCAAACATTGCAAGAAGTTCGATACGCGATGTCTCGTTGAATAAGACATTCTTCAACTGGACCAACTCCTTGACAAACTGGCATGCTTTCGAATTTCGACAAAACGGCATGTAGCGACGTTACATCGTTCATATTTTGCAAGATCTTAATTTCTTGAATGTCGACCGATTTTCCAAAAATCTTGTAATCAATTGTGCCGTCTACGTCGTCGATTATGACACTTTTGTCTATAATAGGACCATCTGTGTCATTATTGGTCATCAACCGTACGTGTGAGAATATCAAATACCGTTTTGTTCCTCTGTACGACTCGGTGAAACTCCACGACTTTGGTATTGTGATTAACGAATCTTTGTACGCTAAAACATATAAAATATATATGTAATGATATTATTCGTATTATCAGACCCTAAATCTTATAATCCTGCAAACGTTCGTACCAATACTATATTTGTTCATTTTTATATATAATTAATGTAGATATAATAATAGCAACACTTACACGCCATGCTGATACTTTTCATGAGCTTTAGGTCAACCGAGTCCGATATTCTCTCACAATCAGTGAAACCATTTGTTTCTTTTTTGCTTTGCTGGCAATCAATTGCACTCAAATTCTCTGTATTGACATTCGTGCTTTCAGAGAGCAAAAACTCGTCAATGTCATCGGCTGTAACAGAGTGTATAATATAATAGCTATTACGAAAATAGCATCATGGAATGGCTGCATACAGTAGGAATCAATTGCTGGATTGCTATTTGAATTCGTGGAATACAATAAAGCATGATAATATTTACTTGTCACATCAACAGACTGTGGAATAGGCAATGTGATTTCGATGGATTTTGATAGTGTATAATGCACGTCTGAGTTAAGCGATCCATTACTCGCAGCATCTACACCCAACTTTTCTTCCTGCAAATCCTCGTCCTTGGAAACTAACGTAGTCGAGGAAAACTCATAGAAAATCGTGGGCACAGCAGATTTAGATAAACGAGTTCGTAGGTACTTAGCCTGAACAAATTACATAAAATCAACTTATACAAATTGGGTATCTGATTTTTAAAGTCTGGAAATCGAGATACACTGAGACTACTATATCTAGCTCTTAATTATCTTTTTTAAATTTCTTTAAACCTCAGGATAAGATTACTAGTCACATAAGTCTTGAATTATAGTGTCAATACATAGATATATTATTAAAATTTCTTTTGATGCGACAGAATATTTTTTTTCATAACTGAGCTTACCTCGGTTACCACGTTTCCTTGTGCATCGCGCATTACGAGCTCCCTTATTATACTTGCTTTATCAAAATGTTTTTCATATACGCATTGGTTGGGTTTCAGGTCCTTTATGCCAGGGATTGCAGATATCCATTTTTTACGCAATTCGTCGCATTTTGGCACTTTAAAAACTGAACACTTCACTGCGACACTTTTGCATCCAGTCTTGCATTTCGGCACGACACAATACTTTGTCATTGTTAATTCACTACGACTTTGTGCGCTTGTTACACTATATTTCGCTGGGTAAACCCAAGTTTGCAATGACCAAATTGCGATAACCTTCTATATAAATTATCATTAACTCCGCAATGACAGCCGCTCACGAAGTTAGCGCAGCGAGATAGCACTCTTAACTTACAGCGCTCCAAGTGGTGATAGTGTCAACTAAAAATGCCTTCACTAAGCGGGTCACCCCCTCCATAGGAGTTTCCCGACCTGTATTCAAGACCGTGTTTGGTACTTATGCAATGCTAGGGAGGTGGCTCTCAATAGATCTGGGTTCCAAGTCTGTAAATCCCCTGTGGTGCTCGCCTTATATATTTTTCCGTCGGATTTTTCACTTCGGGGGATATCGGGGGTTGTTGCTTCGCCGTCTAGCGGCGCGGCGGCGAGGCTTCTTATGACGTTGTGGGTGGCTCCTGTTCTCGTGTCGCTTGCGTCGGTATCGATCCGTTTGGTGGTGCTACTTGGTCACCACACTGTACGCTATTTACACTGGGGAGTTGGATAAAATCAATTCTTGTAAAATCATCCAATATGTTGATGATATCGCCTTATTCACTGATATCCCTCCAATATTTTCTGAAACTAGGAATATAGAAGAGGACTTAGTCGCCACTACCAAAATCTTGAGCGACCTTGGTTTGGGGTTTCCCTGACCAAAGTTTTATATTTTTAGAAAATATGTACGTCGCTCTCAGGGAGATGTCCAATTCATTAAAATCTGTTCAGTAGATATTCTTCATAGTGCGGCGGTGAAATTCTTGGGATTAAATTTCTTCTCAAATTTAAACTAAGATACCCGGATCTGACATATAGTCAATAGCTGTCAGAATCCTTTCAACGTCATTAGGTGTTTGAGAGGCACTTGGTGGGGAGCTGACCCGGAAATTCTCATTCGGATTTATCAAGATTTGATGTAAGATGGAATATACAGGTTGGCTCTTTCATGACTTGAGCATTGAACTCACGTCGAAACTAGAAGGGTAACAGTACAAAGCCTTGAGATTGGCACTTGGTATGAGACAATCCCTCCTGAAGAATGTAATTTTGGCAAAAGCTGGCGAACCTTCTTACTACCTGAGAATGGAATATCTAGGCAGGAAATATCTAAGCTCAGTAATTACTCAGGAAGGTCATCCTTTGAACGAACATTTGGGGAGCATTATAGATCTTAATGAAAAGTCCACTTTCGTCCCTCAGATTGGGGATCCTTCTCTTTTATCACATTTCAAGGTAGTTCTTCAGTATAGAACCCATCTGAGGGTAAACGAAGGCTCTTATATATTCAACTATGACTTCCAAGCTCTGACATTCCAACTAGATATTGACTTAGAGACGGGCTACGCTCTTCGAGATTCAAAGAATCCGAACCATAGCTTTGATGAGCTCTACAACGGGGAAACATTCGAAATCTTCCATATTTTCACAGATGGGTGAAATCCTCAAAAAAGGAATACACAAGGATAGGCATCTCTACTGCTAATGTAGAAATTTCTCGCTCTCTCAAGACTCCTGGATATCTGTCCATCTTTCTTGAATCTATGGTCATAACGGAAGCTCTAAATTAGTTTCTGACATGACTACCGCAGTTATAAGATTTTTACTGACTCTAAATCTGTTCTCAGTGCCTTGCTATCCATTGATTTGAAAGGTAAAAATAACCATCACGTTTTGTTTTTAGGAGGGGAATTTTTCAACTTTTACAAAAAAAGGCATTAAAATCGAACTCATCTAGACCTCTGCTCATGTAGGAATCCAAAGAAATGAAAATGCAGACCAACTTGCTAAGGTTGCATGTGATTCAGGTAGAATTTCTCTTTTTCCACTCTTCCTGGAGGAAGATCTCACCAATATCTGGAGCGAGGAATTGCGTAAGAATACTCGGAAATGGCTCCTTGAGATGGCTACTGGAAAGGGAGTTTATTACTTTAAACTACTACTCCAACGACTTCCGTCCTTGCTTTAATAAATTCCATTTCAACCGAAAAGCGGTTGTGTCAATTTGTTGACTGAAATCGGGACATGCTTCTCTCAGGGAAAGCTTTCACAGATTTAATATAGTCAACTCACCCAATTACGAACTTTGTAAATTTCCTGAAACGCCAAACCATATTTTCTGGCAATGTGATAGGTTTAAAGAACAGAGGAAAAAGCTTATTAGTAGTGCATTTACTTAATGCTTAATTTTGCTGTTTCCCGTAAGATCAATAATTGATTTAAATAATTCCGAGTTAATTAAAGCTTTAGCGTCTTTAATCAACAATATTAATATATCCTTTTAGTTTGTATGACATCCTGATTTGAGACGTTGTTCGCGCAAGATCGAATTTGCGATCGGCTCGCTTGGTCAGCGAACGCACGTAAGATAGGTGTGCTTTCAAGCTCGCTAGCTTAAACGCTCGTTAATATTTTGGGTCATAGTTCAGACCAGAGGTGATCACGGCTTGGCGAAACCGCCGTAAGAAGCGTGTGCCAAACATGTGCGCGTAAGCCTAGTGAGAACAATTAAATTTATACGCGCGACATAATATTCGAAACTATTAAATCAACTTTCGAGTCGTCTAGTGTTGCGCAGGGGTTAACGTTTGTGACTCGTATGTTGCCAACTTACGTTCAGGTTTCGTTACTTTTTTTATTAAATAATAAACGTTCAATTAATAAATTTTGATATTCTCAACAAATACATTAATAGTAATATTGATTCAATTTGTTATTAATCAACTTTTACAGTATAGCAGTCGATTTTAAATATAAATTGTTTTATATTCAATGTTTTTAGCATTGTTTTACTCTTCATATTTTGATGGAGACTTTATGCTAGAAGTTTTAACTTATTTCAATTTTCTTGTTGGTTTTTTGTTCAAATTCGACCTGAAGCTTAATAATAAATCTTAAATTACGAGAATTTGACTTTGAGAGACTGTCAGCTTGTACCACCAGGTACAAGTAACAATGCCTCTCTCTGTAGTCGCCGTGCGCTCGGGATAGCACTAGAGATGTCGCTTCCGAACGACATCTCTCAACGTTATCTGGGGAGGGGAGAGTGTCGTGAGCGTGGAGCGTCAGATAGCTCAGTGGTCTAGAGCAGTCGCCCGGCAAGCGAAAGACCCGGGTTCGATTCCCAGTCTATAGCGACTACCGCGCTCTCGATATTTTTCTCTCTTCGGAACGAAAATAAGATGCGGCGTCCCGTCGCTACCTAGTACGTCCTCCTTCTTTCATGGTGAATACCCATAAATAGCCATGAATCATCATGAAAGGAGGGCGTACTAGGTGGCGACGGGACGCCATGCTTTCGGGACCTGCATCTTATTTTCGTTCCGAAGAGAGAAAAATATCGAGAGCGCGGTAGTCGCTAGACCGGGAATCGAACCCGGGTCTTTCGCTTGCCGGGCAACTGCTTTAAACCACTGAGCTACCTGACGCTCCACGCTCACGACATTCTCCCCCCCCCTCTAGATAACGTTAAGAGATGTCGTTCAGAAGCGACGTAAAAGACTGTGGTATTGCAGATATCTGATTTAAGGAAGAATGAAGACGTCTGTCTTTACTTATTATCTAGAAATTCGGTTGTAGACCTTCACTACGGCCACTCTCATTCCAGTCCTTAAGCCTTAATACAAGGGGTTCTATTGTCTTGCTTCCGCATGTTTAGTTCCTACAAGAGCCGGACATTTAGTTGCTACTGGATCATATGAACTTTGCTAGCTATTACAGCTGAATGCTTCATATTCACTTGTCATATCCTAACTCTTATTGATTCATATATATGTGGGGTATGTGAGCGTCTTGTGTGAAAACAAAAGACACGCGAGTGCAGGACTCTGGATTCGAGAGTCCTGCGCTATTAGCCAATGCGAGCGGCGAATATGTGTGTGTGTGGGTTTGAGGCGCGCTAGTGAGCGAGCCTAACGGCAGAGACAGCAAAGACGGCAGAGACAGCAGAGACGGCAGAGACAGCTAAGACGGCAGAGACGAAAGAAGCGAAAAGCGTATGTGCGTAAGAGAGTTCTTGAGAGTAAGTCGATTAACGAATAAATTGTTACTCGTTGTTTGTTTGAGACAGGAGTTGTGATCTTTCTGTGAGTGTTGTGAGCTACGAGGTAGGGAAGAGAGACAGAACCCTACATATATTTATATATAACATAAATTTGCAACTGTTCCAACGGTACAGAGGATAAAAGAAGTAAATTGACAATTTGCGTATGGGTTTAAAGATAGGCGGAACTAGTATCTAAATTATCTATTTTAATTTACTTCAGCTAGTTGACTGTCGGTATAAATACCCTATCACATCTATTAGATTGTTCGGAAAGTTTGCTTCATCTTTCACGCGCTCTATGTTGCTATTAGTAAGAGTAAGGTCGCTCTAGACGATTTTACGTTTGTGAACGATCTTTCTCGGATCTGTGAGCTCGCTAAAAGAACTTTGCAAGCCTTTCTAAGTGCAAACATTTCGGCAGAAATCATGTGACAAGATGGAAAACAAGAAGGTCCACTTCGCTATGTGATGCTCTATTATTTTAAGTGTAGCTTCATGGCTTTGCAACTATGAATGAGATGTCCTCTGTGTATAGAGATGCCTGCGTCACCCACTTGACAGTTCGGAAATATTATCGAGACTTCGAAATTGGCCATCTGAAGAACCTGGAATTTTCAACTCGACTAGATATTTGGGTGCCATACGAAATGGTTGGACGATAGTTAATAGAACGTTTAAGCATTTGCAATATGTTGCTTCAACGGCTCCAAAAGAAATCTTTTTTAAAGAAAGTCATAACGAGTGATTAAAGCTAGATTTTATACAATGTTGTCAACAATGTTGTCTGTAACAAATAATGCATGAGTAAGCAGCGCGTCTGTTTAAAAGTCAAACCAGGTCTTCTCCCAAAGAAGGTTCTTTTGAGTATCTGCTGGGATTTTACAGGTATAATGTATTATAATTGTCTTTAGCTGAATGAGACTATCAATGCGACGAAGTACAGCCTGCAACGGACGAATTTAAGCTATTATCGCACAGAAGTGTCCTGAACTGGCCAACAGGTGTAAAGTTGTTTCTTATTGTGATAACGTCAAACGTGATATTCATCCGAAATAGGAGGTTACTGGACTTTTAATAAGACGTTCTTTCTCATCTTTCATATCTTCCCGATCTTGTTTTATCTGACTATTATCTATTTCTCTCTTTGAAAAATT